ATCCTGTCTCGAACGGACAACGTCCGCGGCGACACCGACAGCGAGTCCTGCTCAGGATGGACAGGAAATGCGGTCGAGGCGGCATCCTGTCTCAGGATGGACAGGAAATGCGGTCGAGGCGGCATCCTGTCTCGAACGGGCAACGGCCGCGGCGACACCGACAGCGAGTCCTTCTCAGGATGAACAGGAAATGCGGTCGAGGCGGCATCCTGTCTCGAACGGACAACGTCCGCGGCGACACCGACAGCGAGTCCTGCTCAGGATGGACAGGACATGCGGTCGAGGCGGCATCCTGCCTCGAACGGACACCGTCCGCGGCGACACCGACAGCGAGTTCTGCTCAGGATGGGCAGGAAATGCGGTCGAGGCGGCATCCTGTCTCGAACGGGCAACGTCCGCGGCGACACCGACAGCGAGTCCTTCTCAGGATGAACAGGAAATGCGGTCGAGGCGGCATCCTGTCTCGGACGGGCAACGTCCGCGGCGACACCGACAGCGAGTCCAGCTCAGGATGGGCAGGAAATGCGGTCGAGGCGGCATCCTGTCTCGGACGGGCAACGTCCGCGGCGACACCGACAGCGAGTCCAGCTCAGGATGGCATCCTGTCTCGAACGGACAACGTCCGCGGCGACACCGTCAGCGAGCTCAGGATGAACAGGAATGCGGTCGAGGCGGCAATCGTCGGCATCGGGCAACGTCGGACGGGCAACGTCCGCGGCGACAGCGAGTCCAGCTCAGGATGTACAGGAAGGACAGGAATTGCGGTCGAGGCGGCATCACTGTCTCTGGACAGCAAACGTCCGCGGGCGCCACGCCAGCGGTCCCGCTCAGGTTGGACAGGAATGCTGTCGGTTCGATGGCGGGCATCCTGTCTCGGACGGGAAAGGTCCGCGGCGACACGACAGCGAGTCCAGCTCAGGATGGACAGGAAATGCTGGTCGGTGGCGGCATCCTGTCTCGACGGACCAATCGTTCCGCGGCGACACCGGCAGCGAGGTCGGTCCGTCCTGCTCAGGATGGACTGGAAATGCGTCGAGGGCGGGATCATGTCTCGAAACGGGGCAACGTCGCGGCGACCACCGACAGCGAGTTCAGTTCAGGATGACAGGAAATGCGGTCATGGCGGTTCCTGTCTCGGACGGGAAACGTCCGCGGCGACACCGAAAGCGAGTCCAGTCAGGTTGGACAGGAATGCGGTCGGGGCGGCATCCTGTTCGGGAGGGTCAACGTCGCGGCGACCAACGACAGGAGTCCTGCTCAGGATGGACAGGAAATGCGGTCGAGGCGGCTATTCCTTTCTCGAACGGCCAACGTCCGCGGCGACACCGACAGCGAGTCCTGCTCAGGATGGACAGGAAATGCGGTCGCGGCGGCATCCTGTCTCGAACGGGCAACGTCCGCGGCGACACCGACAGCGAGTCCTGCTCAGGATGGACAGGAAATGCGGTCGAGGCGGCATCCTGCCTCGAACGGACAACTTCCGCGGCGACACCGACAGCGAGTTCCGCGGCTATCAGATGGTCAGAGGTAATGCGGTCGACGGGCGGCATCCTGCATCCCAGAAAGGACTAAACGTCCGCGGCGACACCGACAGCGAGTCTGCTCAGGATGGGCAGGAAATGCCGAGTCGAGGCGGATTCCTGCCTCGAAACGGTGCATCGTCCGCGGCGACACCGACAGCGAGTCCTGCTCAGGATGGACAGGAAATGCGGTCGAGGCGGCATCCTGCCTCGAACGGACAACGTCCGCGGCGACACCGACAGCGAGTCCTGCTCAGGATGGACAGGAAATGCGGTCGGTCTTCGTGCCCGTCCCTTCTGCACCCACTTTGATCGTCTACCGAGCACCTCGCCGATCTCGCGGCCGACGCGGCGCGTGGCGGCCAGGGCGTGCAGCTCTGCGGGGCCCTACTCTCAAACCAACATTTGCGTGAACATGAACCTTCAGCCCCCCGCTGTGTGCATTGCCAGCACCCCCGACCATCCATCTGGATCATGCGCGGCCGCTTCGCGATTACGCTGCTTCGGTTCTTGGCACGGGCGGCGGTAGCGGCATATTGCCTGCCGTGTGCCATGCCAGTACCCCAGACCACGTACCTTGCAAACAACAACAAATCAAACATGCACGTTGCACCAAAAGCTGGATCATGCGCGGACGCCCCGTGATCATGTTGTGTTGTTTTTTTGATATGGGGCGGCGGGGGGCCGGCAGATTGCCTGCTGTGCAGGCCCACCATCCGCGTCAACCAAAAATACGAAGTTCACTTTGCCAGGGACGGTGGGGGGGGTGGCATTTGCCTGCTGTGTGCAGGCCTGCTATCCCTGTCGATGACAAGTGCAAAATGATTGCGGGCGCACACCCACGCAAAGCATACAACGCCCGCAAACCCGCCGTCACTTTGCATTGTTGTTTGTCAGGGGTGGTGGGACGGTCGACCTATTGCCCAGTGTGGCGCACCTGGCGCGCGTGGCGCACCTGGCTGGCGTCTGCATTGGTTTCTGATGGTTGTCGTCGATGGCGGCCATTGCCTGTGCTGAGGCTCGGGTTCTACTACGTATGAAGTGTGAGAACAGGAGCGTGCGCGACATGGCTTGCGGCTTGGGGTAGCCTGTTCACTGCTCCCTATCTAAAAAACACCCCCTCCCCCAGGCGACTGGCAGCCAACCAGGACCAATGCGGACACCCCCCCTGTATCCCTGCCATAAACAAACCACGAAGCACATTGTGTAACAACATCTTGGGTCAAGCTCGTGGGCCCCGCGAGCACTGTATATATGTATATATATGTATATATGTTTTTTTATTAAACCAGGACGGCGGGGGTGCCCTCATATTGCCTGCTCTGCGCAAGGGCCATCATCACTGTCAGAAGCAATACAATATGCACTTCTCGACTAAACCTGGATCATGCGCGGCCACTCCACGATCAATGTTCATTGGTGTTTGACGAGGACCGCGGGGGTGCTGGCATATTGCCTGCTCTGTGCAGGCCCACCAACCACCATGATTGTCTCCCCGTTGCGATTGTCCACTGGCTTTCAACAAGGATGGTGCGGGCCGACATGTTTTCCGATTTGTGCTGTCACGTGCGCGGGCGCATCTGGCGCGGCTGGACCATGCGGCACACATGGCGCACGTGGAGCACGTGGCGCATCTGGCGCGCGAGGCGTGCCTGGCACGCTTGGGCCCCAGGGGTGCCTGGCGCACCTGAAGCGCCTGGCACGCGTGGCGTATCTCGTTTCAGCGTCGCGCACATGGGGTCTGTATTGGTTCCAACAAGCTGTCCATCCATAGACGACCGCTGAACATGCTTAGGCTCGGGTGCTGCTGATGTGTTGGGAGGGCGGGTGGGAGTGAGCGAGACAGCTTGCATGCGGGGAGGGTGTCTTGACACCTCCCTTTACCCCCTCCCCTGGGTCTGGAGGGAAGGGGCCGTGACGCATTGGATCGTCCATGGAAGGCATCGGCTAAAAAACACAAATCGTTGATGTAACGCAGGTTTTGGAACCGTTTGGCCTGCTGGGGGAGGCAAAATGACTATCCCCCTTCTATGGCCAAGCTCCTCCAAGACGGCCCCAAGATGGCCCCCAAGGCTCCTCCAAGATGGCCCCAAGATGGCCCCAAGAGGGTCCCAAGAGGCGCCCAGGAGGCCCCAAGAGGCCCCCCTCAAGAGGTCCCCAGGAGGCTCTCTAGCGACCCCCAAGAGGCGCAAAGAGACTCTCCCGAAGCACCCAAGACGCTCCAAGAGGTTTTCGCTGGCGCAATCTGAGAATTGGCCATTCCTCGGCATTCCAAGACGGCGCCGGCGCGAATCGTGACGGCGGTGGCGACGAGTTGCCCCACGGTGGGCGGCACAAGAACACTCGGACGAAACGGGCCAGAGGAACTAGCCGGACATGCGGGCCCCTCCCTCCTCCCTCCCCGCTGGACGAGGGACCCACGTAACTTCCTCCTCTTCCTCCACCCTCGCGGGCGTGAACAAAAGCACCAAACCACTCCAGCTCCGCCATAGCCTACCGAACGCCCTGAACGTCTCCACCCCGCTGGGGGGTCGGCGGAATGGCGTAAGCGCGCAAGCCACTTGAATCATCAGCAATCGGAGATCAGCGCGGACTTCTTGAGTCGGCACTGGACCTCTGCCCCATGGCGGCGCGCCTGCGGCGCCGCCCCTGGCGCGCTGCGCGCGCGAGTGGAGCGGGGTCCAGCGCTGGCCCGAGACATCCGCGCGGACCTCCGAATGCTGACGCGCATGTTGCTTGTATGTTTTTGTTGCTGTGCCGGTTTCTGCCCCTCGCGGTCCTGGAACACCCTGCACTTTGGCCTTGGCTCACTCGCTGGTGGCCTGCCTCGCGATGCTGCCCTCCTGTCCCACTTCGACAGCCCGAACTGACAGCACCCACCTGGCTTTTCACCGGTTTCTGGTGCCTGAAGCCGCCCGCGCGCCCTCCCCGCCGACTCTCGGCGGCTCGGGTCTCCTCCGCGGCCGTCTCTTTTTGTCCGCCCGTCCTGGACCGCCTAGTGCCCAGCGCGGCCCGCCGCCTCTGCAGTCGCGCTCGCGTCAGCCAACGCTGACAACAAACACCTGATTTTGTTGATCTGTTCTCTTCGACACTTCGGGCCTCCAGCGGCCGTTCGGAACGATCGGGGCGTCCCCAGAAGGCCCTCGGGGAGGCGCAGCCGCTGGAGAGCACCCAGAGGCTGCAAAGCCGCCAGGAGCAATCGACAGCTCCCGAAGACCTCGAACCTCGATCCCCCCATGGAGCCCACCCTCGACCTTCGACCTTCGACCTCCGATCCTCGATCCTCCCTCTTCGATCTTCGATCCTTGGAGGCGCCCACCAGCCCCGAATATTCTGAACAGTAACCTCCACCGCCCATCGAGGCGCCCGAATCATTGGTCGGCGAGGGAAGCGCTCGGAGCTCGTTGCCGATTGCTCTTGCCCTGCTCTCTTCGACCTTCCCCCTCGAGCGCGGGGCGGCGCGGGGCTCCGGCAGGGGGCCTCCGTGGTCTCCGCGGTGCAAGACGCGCCCGCGAGGAGCTTCTGCCGGGTGCGCCGGGCCTTCGTGTTACTGTCCTCCACCAGGCGGCGGAGGGCGGCCTCGGGTCGTGCGGTCTGGGGGTGGGGGGCACGAAAGAGAGGAGGAGGAGGAGGAGGAGGAGGAGGAGGAGGAGGAGGAGGAATGGGAGGAGGAGGAGGAGGAGTAGGACGACAAGGAGGAATGGGAGAAGGAGGAGGCGGAGGAGGAGGAGGAAGGGAGGGTCTTGGCCAAGGACACCTTCTGGAGCAGGAGATTCCAGAATGTTTAGAGTACTGAAACCACCTGGATAGATCCCAAGCATGCACCTACAGCCTTCCCATTTTGCAAAATGCATTTGTACATTTACATCTACATTCCCACACCTTTTACATCTTGTCTGTCGGGCGCAGCCGCACCCGATTCGGTACACCCCTCACACGTTTCGTGGCCCTATAAGGAGCTCCACCGAAGGCCCCAGCGGCAAGGTCCGCATGGCGTATTCGCACCCGATACGGCCCCAGCGTCAGGGTCCGCACGGCGTAATCGTACCCGATCTGGTACACCTTTCACACGCTTTGTGGCCCCAAAGAGTGCTCTACCGAATCGCTCCTCTCCCTTCTCCCCCCCGCTCCTCCACCTGCTCCTTGGTGGTCGTCGCTTTGTTGTAAGCGCCTCTGCCCACGCCAGACCTCTACGAGGGAACGAAGTGGGAGCACGAATAAGAGCCTGGCCTCTGGGGGCCAAGTTTTTCATCCATGCCATGCCCTGTTCACGCGGCGCCCAGAGCTGGAGGCAGCCGCAGGGGTATGGATAGAGCGCAGATCGCTCACACGTTCCACACCTCCCTCCTGACCCCTCCTGCGCCTGCGCCTGCGCCTGCGCCTGCGCCTGCGCCGGCGCCTGCGCCTGCGCCTGCGCCTGCCGCCGCGGCCGATCCGCCCTCCCTTGAGGGGAGCCGGAAATCAGACGCGGGCTCCTGCTTCAAACATCCCGTGAAAACTTGCCCGTCAAAGTCCAGTACGGGCCCGTCAAAAAAAGCACACCCGAACTCTGGCGCACTCGAGTCTAACGTTCCCCCGATCTCTCCCCCAGCCGGGCGCCCGGGCGCGGCCGCCTGCAGCTCTCCCAGGTACTGCCTGCGGTACCTGGGCCGGCGCCCGCTGCCGCCCTGCCCGCGGCCCGCCCCCTCCGTGCCTCTGGGGAGGACCCTAGCTGTGCACCCTTGCACCGGTCCTGGCCTGGCCAAGCCTGGCCAAGCGAGGGCGCACGCACACGCACACGCACACGCAAACGCACGCACTCACAAACACACAAGCACACAAGCACACAAGCACAAAAGCACAAGCCCACACCCACACGCACACGCACACGCACTCACACACGTGCACAGCTGGGGTCCTCCGATTTCCTCCGACTCCCCGTGCACACAGGGCGCAATTCCAAGTTGGGCGCACCCCGCTGGCGTTCATACCGGCGACTGAGCTCGTCGCGCCGCGGGGTCAAAAGCCCGTGGTATACCTGCGCCGGCCCGCGCGGCCCTCGCACAAACGGCCTGAGGTCTCGCCGAGGGGCAGGGCTTCCCTCCCCGGAGGAATCGAGGGAGGGTCCAAGGAGGGGCGGGGAGGCATAGAGGGGGAGGCAGGAATGGCAGAGGGCGGGGGATGGGGAAGGGGAGGGGATATGTGCGAGGGGCTTCGACGGAGAGGGGGGGAAGTGATTGAGGAGCAGGTACGGCCAGTGGGGGAGGGGGACACTCATGCTGTCGAACTTGATTGGCACTTAGGCAATACCGTCGATCTGCTGTGAATGGCAAGCGAACAGCCAACTACCCGAAAACATTCTCGGATGTGTACGCTAACGGCAGGGAGTGCACCAACTGATCCCTGCCCGAAATACGCGCACGAGCCCACAAGGATCCAGAGAGATACTCGGACTCGAACCTTAAGCTATTTGATACATACAAGTACGTATCCACGCACGGACGCCCGATTGTGGAACGTGCTGCTTGTAATGCGACCCGCTCTGCCCTTTTTGGAATCGCGGCCCATAACCATAGCCCACGGTGAACTCAGCATTAACTACGGCGGGAGGATAGCACGAGGAAGCGGAGAAACAGCACGCGGCGGAGGCGTGCTCGTGATGATGGCGGAGATGATGGAAGTCATGATGATGGTGGTGATGGTGACGATGATGCCGACGACGACGACGAGTACGACCACGAGCGCGACGACGACGATCATGATGATGTTGATGATGGTGATGCTGTTGGTGATGATAATGCTACTGGCACCAGTAGATGATGACGATGATGACGACGACGGTGACGACGAGGCTGGTGATGATGATGATGGTGATGATGGTGATTGTGATGGTGATGGTGGTGATGATGATAATGCGTCTGATTATGATGACGATGGCAACGACGATGAGTATGAAGATGCTATTGGTGACAATGATGATGACGATCATGACAGCTGATCATGCTACTGATGATGCTGGTATTATTTATGATCATAAGAATGACACTAATAATACTAATATGAATACTGGTACTATTCATAATGTTGGTACTCTTAATAAACATGCAAGTCATACTAAGAATAATCAACATGCCGATGATAAAACTGATGTTCAGAATGTTGACGACAGAGGCACCGGTTACGTCGCGCAGTGCACAGACGTAAACCTTCAGCTGGGAGAGCACGCTATCGGAGCAAGTGCGACCCATGGCGTTGGCCAGCGGGTCCAGAGACGGGCGAGTGTGGCTGCCCATGCACGAAGCCCCCTCCTGATGAGCGTAGCAAGGCCACGTCGGCTCTAGCACTCGCGCTGCGGAAATCGCGCTGCGAAGCTGTCGAGAGCGCAGGCAAGGGCGTATCCTGGCTGCGAAGAGACCGCAACAACAGGCTGGCGGCTGGCACGATCGCGGCAAGGGCGCGCCGCCCATGGAGTCGTCCGTCCAGCACTCGACCTGTCGAGGAAAAGGGCCCCAACACGGCCCAAATAGGCCCCCAAGACGGTCCAAGTGTCCCCTAAGACGGCCCAAGAGGACCCCAAAAGGGCCCCAAGGCGGCCGCGAGAGGCCCCAAGAGGCCCCAAGAAACGCCCAAGAGGCCTCCAAGAAGTCTCCAAGAAGCCCCCAAACAAGGCCCCGTAGAAACCCCCCGAAGCCCACACAGCGACTGGAGTGTACTGTCATTTCCCCCCCTGGGCGAAGTGCGGCGCAGCGCCAGCCAGGTGGAAGTTGGTCGCCGCCCATGATTAGAGCTGGCTTTGGAAGGTACACGTCCCGAAGTGACGTGCTGAGCGGCAGCGTTTTCTGTGGAGGCGGTAATGCAACGAAACCAATGTATCAAATTGTTGCAAAATTGCTACACGTTGTATTGTGTTACACTATTATGTCTCACCCCTACCCCCCCAGGGGTCACGCCACATCCGTCGACCCAAAAGTGGTGGACCCCTTCTGGGCCTGAAAACCTACAAGAACCTATGGAAGATCGATGATTCTGTACTTTTGGCCCTTTTGGGGGCCCACGAGAGCCTCAAGACGGCTCAAGATGGCCTCTGCGCGGGCCAAGACGACCCCAAGACGGCCCAAGATGGCCCCAAGAGAATCCAAAAAGCTCCGAGGACGGGCTCAGAGGGCCCCGTGTCCCTAGGACTTTTGACTTCTTTCGCGACTCTCAAAAGCCCATGACGGCCCAAGACGCCTCCAACATCGCCCCAAGACAGCCCAATAAGCCCCCAAGATGGCTCAAAAACGGCCCAGGAGGGCCCCAAGACTGCCCAAATGGGCCCCCAAGACGGTCCAAGAGGCCCCTAAGACGGCCCAAGAGAACCCCAAGAGAGTCCCAGGGAGACCGCGAGAGGCCCCGAAGACAGCCTCCAGGGGCGAAACGGCGCGTAAGCGCCCCAAGACGGCCCAAGACGCCCCCAAGAGGCCCCAAGAGGCCCCCCAGAGGCCCCAAAGGGGCCGCAAGAAATCCCCAAGAGGCCTCCAAGAAATCCCCAAGAAGCCTCCAAAAGGCCCAAGACGCCCCCCACGAAACTCCCGAGAACCCCCAAAACGACTTGACTGCACGTACTCCGGACGTGCACCCCGCGAAGCGAGAGGAATCACTAATTTTTTCCCGGGTGTTCGAAGGAGGTTGGCGTTCTCGCTTTTTCGGACTTCCGACGCCCCAAGACGGCCCCAGAGGTCCCCAAGACCGCCCCATGACGCCCGAAGAGGCCCCCAAGAGGGCCCCAAGATGGCCCAGGAGGCGCCCAAGACGGCCCCAAAAGTGGCCCAAGAGAGGGAACACGAACCGACAATCCCAGCCTTCCGCCCCAAGAGACCAGGCCGAAAGAGGCGCCCAGGGGGTCCCAGGAGGCCTCCAAGAGGCCCCCAAGGGGACCCACGCGGCCCCCAAGAGGCCCCCCGACGGCCCCCAAGAGGCTCCCAAACTGCCTCCAAGAGGCCCCCGACGAGCGGCCCCCAGGAGGACTCCCGCGAGATCCCAACGAACATCCAATCGGCTTTGCACCCAGACCCCAGGCACGGTGGCGGGCTGGGCCGAAAGGCCATGAGATTTACACAGCCGGGGAGGAGAAGGAGCAGGAGGTGTCTGACAACGACGCGGGGAACGAGGAGGACGAGGGCAGGGTGTGGGGGGACACGTGCACGCTAAACAAGCGCAGCGGCACGCCGCAGGCCAGCCGCGGCGCGGGCAGGGAGTGCGAGTTGGGACAGCAGTGGCAGAAGGCGGGGCGAGGCGTGGACGAGCCAACGTCATCAGCTTCAAGCCAGGTCTACGTGGGGAGCTTATCTTACGACGGCGACTGGCGCGACCTATAGGACCACGTGAAGCAGGCGGGCAGCGTGGAATTCCGCAGAGTGCTCACGAAGACGGGACCGTCTACGGCAGACCGTTCGGATACGGTCAAGTACGCATCTCCACAGAAACGGAGGCTAAGAAAGCCATAGTCACCCTGCACGACACGAAGCTCAAGAACCTGAGGTGATGGGTTCGGGTGCGGTCTGGCGCACAGGGACGTCATCTACCACGTGCGTAGTAGAAAGATGGTGGTGTGGTGTGAGACGAGCTGGAATGGCACAACCTGGGATCTGAAATCACTACTGCCCGGCGCGAGCTGGCGGCAGGGACTGCTGCAGCTGATCAGCGCGTGCAGGGACTTTCAGGCAGTGGAGCGGGATGCAAGAAGCGGAACGCGGCGGCCTGGCTGGGGGCCTCGAGCGCCCGGGCGTGGGGCGGCTGTGTGGGGGAGTCCGCATGGACGTACGAGAGAAAGGCGTGGCTGAAGTGCTTCCCCTTGGAGAGTTTGTTCATGGGGAGCTCTGGGGGGGAGCGGGGGGAAGGCGAGCTGGCTGCGCTCGCGCAGTATCCGACATCCTACCCTCCCACTCATCGCATCTCATTGCACTGACGTGTGTTTCTGTGTACGCCGACGCGTGTCAAAGCGGACCTGGAACTCCAAAAAGACCACTACCATGCCATGCACAGTCTGGAAATGGGAGATGCGTGCATTGGAGGAGGGGGCGGATGAGAAGGAAGATGAGCAGGAGGAAAAGGATCAGGACGAGGAAGGAGGAGGACGAGTACGAACAGCAACAGCAGGAACGGGAGTGGGAGGAGCGGGAGGAGCGGGAGGATAAGGGGAAGGAGGAGGAGGGAAAAGGAGGAGGGCGACAAGGATGAGGAAGGACTCGGATTCAGAAAACTGGCCCGCGCTGGGGCGACAACGCCACTCCGAACGACGGGAGCAAAGCCCCGATCCTCAACTGAGACCCACCGTGCGGCGGGAACACCATATTCTGAGAAGGCTGAGAACGGTCGGATGACACACACACACACACACTCACACACACACACACGCACACACACACACAACAGAACAAGCAAACTCGAACCACTCCGTTTTTTGGTATTAAAAAACAGCGCTACGCAGAAGGGGGCGCGCCGTTCTCAAGACGTCTTCGGGGGAAAAACGATCAGTGCTCATGAGGAGGTGGAGCAGTTGACGAGGGACGAGGGAAAAGGTGTTGTGCACAGAGTGCCAGCACAATGCTTCGGCAATAGCCTGGCGACACGTATTCCCAACCAAATACGTATCAGCCCGAGCGGGCCCCTGCCACACTCAGCAACTGATGCCTCCAACCTGCCTCTGCAAGACATCCAACGCAGCGTGAAGCGAGAGGGGGAGAGAGGGGGCGACGAGAGGAGGGGAGAGGCGGGGTGGACAACGAGAGTCTGGAGGATGTGTCGGGCGTTCCCGACGGGCGGCCCGTGTCTGGCCAATGGCTCGGCCCCAACACGTTGATGACAGCAAGATCAAGGCATACCGGCTCGGTCTGAATGGCTCGGGGAAGAGGCGGATGAGGCTGATAGGAGGAAGGCGACAACGACGACGATTAGCCAGTGAGCGAACGAGGGGGGAAGCGGGAGCAAGGAGATCAGGGGCAGGAGGACGAGAAGGATCATGATGGGCGAGATGAGGATGAGGAGGATGAAGGGGGCAACACAGATAGAGGAGGCGCCTGCGGTAGTCTCTGTCCGACTTGAGGCGTTCCCTCATCGCCTCCGAATGCTGTTTTTTGCACGCGCCGATGGGGCTGTTGACCGCGACCTTGCCCTCCTGACTCGGCTGGCAGCAATTTGATGATGGTACCCGCAAGAGAGGGAGGGGAAGGGGAGGAACACAAAGGATGAGACCGATTGCGCGACCAAGTGTGCGAGGCCAGCAATGAGCGTGCTGCAAATAAAGAAGACCCGACAACGATACGCCACTGGTAAACAATGGGTAAGAGTAAGCAACCATGGGTGCGCGGAGAGACGCGATGCTGCTGAGGACAGGGCAGCACAACGGTGGTCAACGGTGATGGGCAAAAGGTGAATCAGGCACGGGGCTGGCGGACAGGGGGGGCGAGGCGGTGGAACTGAGAGAGACACACGAGACTTGGCACTCCTGGTTGGCAAACATGTCGTGGGGACACTCGCCGACGAGATAGTACTGGCGCGCTGGGGCAGCGCAATGATATTCCCATCCTTTCACCTTCTCGTCGCTCCCATGTTACGCCCCTGCCCGCCCTCCCTCTTCTGGTCATCCTGGGCATCCCCCGTCCTGCTCATCCTCGTCTTCGCTGCCCGTATGCTTTACGTACTGCCTCTTCCCCCTCCCCCTCCTAGAGCGCCCAGGTTGGTTGCATCTCCACCGTGCGACTCTGACCCTGCCATTTCTGGACGAACCAAGGTCCTCGGGTGTCATTCATAAACTTCCCAGCCCGCGCCTCTTAATCCTCGTTCTCTTGCACAGGGTGTCTAGAGCTCCGACCATTGTTGTTTTTTCGTGTCGCAGCCTCCCTCCCTACCCCTTCTCAATTGCAAGCTGGCGCACCTTTCCCCAGTTATTTGTTCCCGCTGTCCACCAGCAGATCAGTGGCCCCACCGCCTCGGGCATGCTATTTTTCGTGTGGCCACCCCCACACCCCCCCCACGCGCCCCCCCCACCCCCACCTCCCGACAAGCCCCTCCGCCACCGCCCGCTGTCCTCCCGCAGCCCAGTGCAGCCCAGTGCCCTCCTCGCCCCAACGATTTTACTATTCGCGTCGCAGCCCGCCACCCAGTGTCCCCTCCGCCCCGACTACTCGACTTATCGGGTCGCAGTCGCATTCCCCCCCCACCCTTCCGCGCGGGCCCCTCTTGCCCCTCCGCAGGCTGGCGCCCCCGCCCCCTTCTCCCCACTGTCCTCCAGCGGCCCAGTGCCGCCTCCGCCCTGGCCATTTTCAACTTTTGCGTAGCAGCCCCAGCTCCCCACGCCCCTCCCTTCGGCAGGCCACCGCGCCCACCCCCTATCCCCACTGCAGACCACCGGCCCCGCCCCCCCGTCCCCAGACCTCACGCCCCGCAGGCCCCCCGCCCGCCCCCGGTCCCCACTGTCCTCCAGCAGCCCAGTGCCCCCTCCACCCCGACCCTTTTACTTTCGCGTCGCACCCCCCCACCCTTCCAATCCCCCCCCGCAGGAACAACCCCGTCATTTTTCCCGAGTGGCCCCAGCAACCCTAATGCCCCCTCCGTCCCGGCCATTCTTGTTGGCCGCGCACCACTTTCAACGTGCGGAGCTGTCTTGAGCCCATCTTGGAGGCCATCTGAAGGCCTCGGAGGCCCTGCTGGAGCAATCTCGGGCCATCTTGGGCGCTCTGACCGCTCGCTCCCCCAAACGAACACGGGAGGGGAGCCCCTCCCCGAAGGGAAGAAGGGGTCGGCAAGAGGAGAGGTGACTATGCGAGACAACATGCGCCCAGAAGGCTGGTGGGATTTCGGCATGGCACCGCCGGCGCCGCGCCCGCCCTTCGCCGACGCCGGCACTTCGGCGATGCCTTGTAGTCAGGAGGTCTGGGAGGGAGGAGGGATGAAGGGAGGAAGGAGGGAAAACGGAGGAGGAATGAATTGGCCCGTCCTGGGCGCTGACCGCCCGCCCCCCCCCCGAACCAACATACAGTTGAAGAGAGCTTCTGTCGAGGAGGAACGGAGAATACACTAGACCATCTGCGCCCAAAGGGATGGTGGCATTTCGGCATGGCACTGGCGCCGCCCGCCACCCCCTTCCCCCCTCCCCCCCAGCCTATCCTTGGACCTTGGAGGCCTCCAGGGAGCCTCTTGGCGTAATCATCAGACGGATCCACAGTCCTTCGAGCAAGAACTCCCATTGCCTAGGCCGCCCGTGCTTTCCCTGGCCTCCCCGACGGGAGGCCGATGGTTACCGAGGCGGTCCCGAAGGCCTTGGAAGCGGCTGCCAGGGTCCATGAGGGCCCTCCCCTGGGAATGGTGGGGGGCCTGGGGGGTGGGTGGTCCTGCGGGGTCCGTGGCTGGCCCGTCTGGGGAGAATCCCGTGGGTCCCGTGGCGGCTGTGGCGGATGGCCCAGATAGGCCCGGCCAAGCCGATTGGGTACTCCTCCTCATCCTCGGCCATCGGATGGCCGAAGCCTGCTTGATCGATGTTTGCGAGCGCTGTGCGTACTTGTGGGGCTGTGGGGTCGGGTGTTGGCGCTCAAGGCTCCTTGTACAGGCCCCTCAGATGTCCCCAAGACCCTCATTGCACAAGAGGCCCGTCTCGAGAAGGCGTGGTGAGCCGACTCGATAGCGGTGGAGGATCTTGGGGCCCTGGCCCGCGAAGTTGTGATGTTCTTCGGCAAGGGACGCGTCTCACCAAGGGGTCGTTCCTCCTTGCCCTCCCTATGCCTCCTCCCCTCTCGGGCGCGGCCCAGCCGCTCCCCTCCGTGACGACCACGTCGCCCCGCACAGGCCCAGGGAGAAGGAGGCGAGTTGGCAAACGGCAGACGAGGATCCCTGAGGGGGAGGGTGCGCGGAGGGGTCGGCCTGCCAGGCGGCGGTCACGCCGCCCTGCCCAGCGACAGCCTCCCTCCCCCAGGCCCCCGGCGGCTCGAAGAAACCCGCGCCGCTACCAGCAAGAATCGGCATCTGGAGATCACTTCTGGGACCCCAGGATCGTCGAAGAAACGACACATGACGAAACAAGGCTCGAGCCAAACAATGTTTTCCGTTCTCGTGTTCCCTAAGCAGCGACTCGAAACAAGGAACCAACGACTCTGTTCCGAGAGTTCCAAGGATCAACGACTCGAAACAATCGAATCGTCGGAGGTCCGGGTCGCAAATCTTTAACACACAACATGAATACTTCTCGCCTCTCTCCCCTGATGACGGCCGGAAGATATCCGGCCCCTCTCCGCGTACTGTTTTTTTTGACACACAAGATTCCCAGGAATTGGGTTTTCGCTAGGGTTTTTGTTCAAAATGTTGCTCCCGCTGCAGCGCTGGCTTCATTTTCGGCCTTCCGCTCGTTCCGAATCGTGCTCCCGCTGTAGCGCTGGCCTTATTTTCGCACTTCCGCTCGTCCCGAATCGTGTTCCCGCTGCAACGTTGGCTTCATTTCCGCGCTTCCGCTCGTCCCGAATCGTGCTCCCGCTGAAGCGCTGGCGTCATTACTTCCAGAGCTATGCCACGGCATGGTTTTCGGTCATTCCAAGTCGCCCGAAAAAACATCGAAAGTGATTCCACATTCGGTGCCGATTCGTTGATTTGTTGGGCCGCAGAAGCCCCCCCCACTGTGGGGCATCGCCACGCCATGCTATGTCATGCTACACGTTGATCTTCACCACCATGCTACGCCACGTACGGCTACGCCATGCTGCGACACCCGATTGTGCGGATGGAGAGGAGATCTACTCCATGGTAAAGGATGGGAGAGAGGGGTAGGACGTCAGATATGACGCGAGCACACCTAGCTTGTCAGAACCCCTCCCCTCGTGGCCATAAAGAATGGGGGCGGGTCCTTGCAGACGTCCTCATCCTTGAAGCTTTGCCTCTTGCTGTCCCCAGCGGCATCCCGATCCTGGGCGAGGCGAAGAGGGTGCTAGTGATGAGAAGGCGGGGGAAGGATGAAGGCCTGAGAGGAAATGAGGCGGAAGAGGAGAAAGAGAACCAGGGAAATCCAGGATGCATCAGCGATGCTGTAGTATACCCTGGCGTCCAAGTCCCCTATTAGGATGCAACTCATGGGAAACTATAGTGTAACGCTACTATGGTCTGTTATTGTTCCCTGCGTGCGGACAGCGTGCCCATAGCGTCCCCACGGAGCTCCTCGCACGTCTAAGCATTACCACCATCACCATCGAGCGCGAATGCTATTGGATGCTATCGAACGTTGTCCAGGCGCGCGCTATCGACATCTATGTCCGACATGGATAGTGCTCGATAGCGTTCACGCCTTGACAGCGTTCGCGAGCGTTCTGATCTCCTCGATCTCAGCACCATCCAGAGAGACGACATTATCGGATAGCGCTCGATAGCGTCTCGACCACGCTATTGAACGCGATCGAGCGTCCTTAACCGTTCGAGGACTGAGGGGGGATGGTGGAGGATGACGAGGAGAGGGAGAAAGGGAAGGACCAGCGGAAAAGAGGAATATTTGTTTGAAGGATAGCGAGGTGGCCCTCGTGTTGTCAGCCCTGGCGCGGACCTTGACGAGGCCAGCGCCGAAGCTGAGCGTCCACGGCCTTGTCGTCGCGAGTGCTCAAGCCAGGCTCCATCGGCGGGCAGTTCGCAGGCAGGTCGTGGAAGCTGGTTGGGTCCACGAGGTATTTTGGGGCCTCCCTCGGCGCGCGGGCAAGCTCGCTCTGGCACTGCGCCAAATACGATACCATCACCTCGGTGGTCGTGCTGGCCGTGAGACGGTAGCTCAGGAGGTAGGTGGCCGATACCCCCCCTGGCCGATCTTGCGGGAGACTGGCCGACATAATCAAATACCGCCAGATGTACTCCTCATCGTTGGCCATGTCCGTTGTGATCTTCGGGCTCTTCTTGGCCATTTCGCAAATTCCGCGGGCCGCGCGCTTCTGGCCATCTTTACTAACCGCGAGAACCATCAAGACGACATGCTACGCGTAGCAGCTGGCACATCCACGCGGACAGGCGGCGCCTTTGATCCAGGGAGGACCCCCGCAACATTTCAGATCACCATTCCGGCGTCGTGAATGTAACATGGATGCATAAGTTGTGTAGCTCCCCCTCAGGGAGTTACAATGTGTTACTTGTCCCCTGCATGCAGAACCAGAGCATAGCTTAGCATACATCAGCCAACCGACGTTGTGCGTAATATGGAAACACGAATAGATGAGCTCCCGCTGTGGGGGAAAGGTGTTACTGTTCCCCTCCCTGCATGGCCAGAGCATGGCACACTTTAGCATACGTCAACCAAACCCGGGCATCCCGAAAAACCCCTGCAGCATGGAGATATCGGAAACGGAACCAGGAATGATCTTCAAGGCCCTTCTGGGGACTCGACGTGCACTAACTTCCGCGCGCCTCTGGCTCTAGCTTGTTGCGCTGTGCGACAGAACCCCATCCACAGAATTAACATGGGCATCTCTAGGCTCTGGCTGGTTAAAAAAACCTTCTTTTTGG